ATTGGTGGTAGTGCTGAGAGAAGAACACCTCTCTCTAAGGGGCCAATGGATTCTTTTTTCACCCCTAGCTCCGAAATTGTGGTTCAGGAGAAAGAAGAAAACAAAACAAATCACAATTGACAATAAATATAAGAAAGAACAAAGGAAGTCGGTATATAAGTGGATTGCAAAGTGGATTTACATGGCCGGCAATCCTTTTAATACTATAACTTTGGATAGTTTTGCATGTGTGGTCCATGCAATTGGGCAATATGGCCCAGGACTTATTCCTCCTTCACTACATGAGGTTAGGGAGCCCTTGTTGAAGGATGCTGTATTTGATGTGAATAAAATTTTGAGGGTGAGGATCTTATATGGCTTGATGTCGAGCTAGCAACAGGGGTTAATGAAGAAGATCGACCTAACACTAGAGCACAAAGGAGTAGAGGAGTTGCTGGGTCTAGTCGCACTCACACATTAGCTTTAGAGGTCGAGGAGGAAGCTGACTCAGAGAAGACCGATGAAGAAGAATACATGGAGGCCGTCGAGGATGATATTGATGATGCGCATGACGACTCTCAAGATGACTTGTCTGATTAATATTTGAAAAAACGAAGTTCAAATTTCAAAATTGACTCTCAAATGGATGATTGTATTAAGTTATTAACTATTAACACTTCTTGAGCTTGACTTTTGGTTTGTATTTTGTAATATCACTATTTTGTGCTTATGGTTGTACTTATGGTTGTTGATGGTTGTGCTTATGGTGCTTATTTTGTAATATCACTATTTTGTTGATTGTTGAATGTTTTATGAAACTGGTTTCAAGTTTCTAGTTTCTATCAGGGGATAGTGGATAACTGGATACAGAATCTCCGACTGCTAATAGTTTTGAAGTTAATCATTAAACTAAAATACCTACTATCACATATATCGCCTTCATATTTTTTTCTATGCATTAACTTATTTTTTTAGATTTTTTAGAATTTTTTTACATTTATTGACCGCATCATCGCGATGCACCCGCATCCAGGCCGCATCTCGCCACATCGGCCGCCCACAGCATCAGGGCCGCATCCCGCATTTTAAAACACTGGTAGACACCGACTTGCATCCTACCACCTTCATTCCTTTTAGGAAGTTTAGTGATCTATCAAGTGCTTATCTTTTCAAGAGCTTGCATTTCCTCCCACATTGCAACCTTCCTCTGAGGTTATGCTAGGGCCTTTGTTACACTTGATGGAATATCAACAGTAGACAAGATGATAGGAAAGCACGTTAGGAAGCTAACACAATATTATAAGAAACAAAGTTATTTATACAATATTGTGCACTTGATCACTTACCCTTGCATAATGCGATCGGGAAGTCAATGTTTAACACAAGGATTGGATTAGAAGGTGAAGAAATAGTAGGATGAGAAGGATCAGTACCTAGTTCCAGGTTGATACTTGAGTCATGATCATTTTGGACTTCAGGTTGTACCAACTTCTTCCTTCTAACATAAATCTTCAACTCCTTTTCCTTGGCTGCAACTGGGACATTCCCATCTTCGTTTTGAAGCATCTCAGAAACTTCAAGAACAAAGAGACTTGGAGCAGATTAAGGTAGTGAAAGAAATTGCCCACTTCCTGTATACTGTGCACTCCCTTAAAGAGAGTATTGTTTCCATCATGAGAGAAATATGGAATAGATTTAAAGAAGGTGGTATCCATACAAACATAGTGGACCTTATTAATGGAATCATAGCATTTGAACCCATTTTGAGTTTCTGGATGCCCTAAGAAGACAAATTTAATGGCTTTCAGGTCTAGTTTGTCTCTTTTAGGCCCCAAAAGATGGACAAAAACACGCATTATGAAAGACTTTGGGAGATATGGGAAACAAAGGAGTATTGGGAAGAAGTATTTGGGTGGGGGACTTGCCTTGAAAAACCCTTGATAAAATATGATTTATCTAGATGGGGGACTTGTCTTGAAAAACTCTTGATAAAATATGATTTATCTAGAATGCCGCAGTAAGAATGGCCTCAGACCACCGCGTTTTGAAAAATTCGTCCCAAACAAGAGAATTCGAGTGATTTCCAACTAGTGTCACTTTTTTTTCTTTGCAACTCCATGTTTGAGGAATATAATGACATGTTCTCTGGAACTCTATATGCTGATCTCTCGAGTAATTTCAGAGATCCTTTGAGATATATTCACCCCCATTAACAGAATGGGGAACTTTAGTACTTGCATTATATTGTATTCTAACCATTTTTGATAAACTTGAAAAAGAATTTCAACTTCATCCTGGTGAAATCCCACAAAGTAGCAGAAAAACAAAAACCAAAAAGAGGTACAACTAGGAAAGGCCCCCAAACATACAATAGAGAATGGAGGATCACTTCTTTCATTATGGACAGGATAGATGTTCTACAATGTTTCGCTGACTGACAAATGTCACATTGCAATTGAACTTGACTTTAACAAAGGAAAGCTTTTGGGAAACAAGGAATGGAAAACAGATAGGGGAGCATGACCAAGACAGGTGTACCATAAATACACCCATTCTTTATCAGCAAACTTGACAAGACAATAATTTGAGTAGCTGTAGGAGTCTGTTCTGATGTCTCTAGAAGAAGGTACAACCCTCTGTCTTCACGGTCATGCCCAAATATTCTCCTCATCGCCAAGTCCCAAAAGCACAATATGACAGGAAAAAGGTGACAACAGTTTTAATGTTTTTGTAAGTCACTAATCAATAGGAGATTATTAGATAACTTCGGCACATGCAAAGTGAACACTAAATCTATAAAGTTACTGGAACAGTTCCTTTCCCATTAATGGGCATAAAGGATCCATCAGCAGTGTTTTAGACTCATGGTTTGATCATGTGATGTATGCGGAAAAGAGCTTGGACATGCAAGTTATATGTTTAAGTAGCTCTTGGATCAATAATCCAAGAAGCCTGCTAAGTCATGGAAATAAGGTGTGATGGGACTTGGAGGAGGAAGAAGAGGGCTCTAGATGATGAATGGAGGCAAGTTGCTTGTGAGCAACAAGCTCTCACTCGGAAATGGTCACAAAATCATCCTCAGGTAAAGGAGGAATGTAGTCACGGGTGAATAACTGGCAGCAGCTTGTTGCCGAGGCATAGTGGTCTCCTCATTAGTCACTTCAACATAAGTTTGTTTAGGGCATCCAATAAAATCCCAAGATGCTTCTTTGGTGTGGTAAGATTTCCCACAAGGAGTATATTTTAGCTTGTCATTCTCGTCAGTTGTGAAGCCCCTGCCACCGTTACATCCTCCAACTCGATCACCGCTACGGCTACCACCATTATTTTTGATAGAGTTGGAATTTAGAGCTGATCGTCAGGTTTACCAATAGATACAACCATAATTTTTTGGCGTGTCTTCTTCACGTTGAAGGGAGAAACCATTCCAACTGGTGTTAAAGTTTCACCATCCAAAATATTGGACCTGATATTCTCACATTTATGATTAAGATCCCCTAAAAAATCAAATATCTTCTTTTGTTCTTCTCTTTCTCTATTCTCTTTTGCACACTTTTGAGGAAATTTTTCCTTTCGACGAAAAATTCTCTTTTGCATAATTGGAGTAGTTTATGGGTTGGTAATGATTTAGCGCAACCCATGAACCTCGTAATGCAACATAATAATGATAGCTCTTGTTATTTGAAATTTGCTAATTTGTTGTTCCAACTCATATATTTTTGCTAACTTCTTCTTTTGTGAATAGGCTTCAACTGCTGTGTCCCATAACTCTTTTGAACTATTACTATTCATAAATGTGCCAGTTTAAAATCCAGTTCATAATGGTCATCTCAGTAGCTTCGTAATCGACATAAGTGGATTTCTTGCCTCCAAGAAATAAGCTGACAAATCTGGCCCATTCCATATAGTTTGTGCCATCAAATTTAATTGCAGAGATTTGGATTTCCGAATACTCTATACTTGACTTTTGTTGTGACATTGTTCCCTCTTAAGGCACAAAAGAAAACAAATCATAATGTTGCTGAAATCTGGATATACCCACAAATTTCTTTTTGAACGCTTTTCATAAATACTGAAAGCACTACACAGTACATTAGCCAATTGATTTTACATTCGGGACCACCAATACCTTGGTGGTAATGTTATTTGATCTGCATCAAATGGCTATTGTTTGTCCCTAAGAAAATAAAATCTTGACCTATACATTCGAAGTTTCTCATAAGAGAAAAAAAACCTTAATCAATGGGTCACGAAACCGTAATATTTTTCTTTTAATCTGTGGGTCATGGTCATGGAAAGCCTAATATTTTCTTTTAATCAATGGGTCGCGAAAGCCCTAATTTTTCCACTTGTTTTTCTCTTTTTTTGTGTGGGGACAAACCCTAAGAAAAGTTTATACCTTTCGTAGGAAAATCAAGTCCAAGAATATCATCATCATTTTAGCCTTTTCCCAATTAATTGGGGTCGGCTACATGAACCCTGGTTCTCCATTCTGTTCTATTAAAAGCCATATCCTCAGTGAGGCCATAAGTCCCTATATCTTTTCGGTCTACTTCCAACCAAATTCTTTTGGGCCTACCCCTTGCCCTCCTAACAGGTGCTGTACTTAGTCGTCGCCACACATGGCCAGCCCACCTAAGTCTACTTTTGTCATTTTATCGCCTATTGGTGCCACGCCTAAATTCTCTTGAATAGATTCATTTTGAATTCTATCCCTTCTTGTCTTGCCACTCATCCATCTCAACATCTTCATCTCCGCTACACTCATTCTGTGGGTTTCTTCATTGCTCTCATAAATAAAACCATATAGAACTCACCTACAATCTTCAAAAAGTACGCTTGTTAGGGTTTCTTCATTGATGAACTTTCATTCATTGACTGGCCATCAATGTTCGAAAATTCAGCCGCCTAGGCGAAAAATTTTTAAAAAAGCCTAGGTGCACCCTAGGTGGGGGCATTATGCATTTTGCTTCTGGGCGTCCGCCTAGGCGGTCAAGGTGCGGCCTAGGCGCTATGGTCTGGGCCCCCGCCTAGGCGCTGTCCCGTGACAACTTGCTGGTGGGCGGAAAAAAACCCTTGGTGAGAGTAAAAAATGTAATTTTTTCCCCTAAAAAGGGAGGGGAGGGTTTTCGGGGGTATTCTAAACCCCCAATAGAAAATCCGTGGCCTTTAGGGTGAGAAGAACCCTTCAAAAACCACTTTTTCGTGATTTATCGAAATATCGATAAATTTTTTATTTTTTCGATGTCTTCCTAAAACGAAGGCAATAGTTTGTGGGTGGATTTGGAGCTTTTAGTAGTTGATTTTGGGAACTTTTAGCGACCCAGCAGACGAAGTTTGCACCGACATCGATTTGATTTTGATATTTTTAAAGTATTATCATATTTGAAAGAAGGTGTTGATTTTATTTTGCTACAACATATTATGTTATGAATCATGCATTTTTTTTTCTTTTACTTTTTTTTTTTTACATTATATTTACGTGTTCGTAGTTAAAAGATTGATTTTTTTGGTGATTTATTGAATTTTTTCTCACTTGGATGATGAAATTGAGCATATATCGTATTCTTTTATGAATAATTGATTCCTTTTTTGGCAATGTGTCTTATTTTGATATTCTATTTTTTTTGTTTTAGTTTATTTGATAAATAATTGATTAAGTTATGTGAAAGTGAAACTAAAGTCTTAAAATATCTTATATATTCAGTTATTCATTTAAGAACCCCTTTGTTTTTTATGTTTGGGGTGGGGTGGGGTGGGGTGGGGTGGGGGATGGTTTGTTTTGGTGAGGGTACCTTGTCCCTGGGCGCCCATCTAGGCCGCCGCCCGACTGCCTAGGTGGCCAGGCACCCAAAGTGCCTAGGCACCCGAATCCTGTTTTTTAAGCATTGCTGACCATACTGCTGAAACTTGCTGTTATATGGCTGATATTTCACCACCTGATTCTCACTTCTTCAGATCTACACTAGCTCTGATACCAAGTTGAAAGATATATGCTGTATGTCTATTCTAAACAGCCACTACTTGGAGGAAGATGATTGGAGAGATGGAATAAAGAGAGGGAAGAGAGATAGATGCATGAGAGAAAGAGAGAAAATAGAGTTCTTTGAGAATGCGAGGATGTGATGACCTCACTTTGGGTCAATTATAGATATTTTTATTATTAAAGGAAGAAAATTACAATAATGCCCTTGTGGAATTTATGTACAGTCTATTATTCCAGTTAAATCCCTAACTTGCTCCTGTACTTTCACCATATGATACTTTTCCTTCTCTTTATTCTCTATTATTCTCTGGCATTTTTTCTGGCCAGTTAATTTCCAAGCCCAATTCTCTGTAAATGTTTCAGACCCAGAGGCATCCGCAGATGCAAGTGCTTCACACACAGAATCAGGCAGCACAGCCACATTGGGATAGGCTGAGGCGGAAGCAGCCATTAACCCCTCGTGGCTCTAATGTCGGTCTAGAGAGAGAGAGGCCCACAGTTGAAGTTAAGGTGGAAAATTCAACCGATTTGCCAATTGACTATGCATATGGTGCCAATCAATTGATCAAGCAAAACCAGTTTCAGTGGAAGCAGCAGCAACTACAACTAAAACTACAGCCACAGCAGCAGCAGCAGCAGCAGCAGCAGCAGTTCAAACATCTTGCATCCCTTCAGATCCCTCATGCTCAACCACAGTAAGGCTGTCTGCATCATTGTAGTTATGATAATGCATATGCATATTGATGGTTTGCACTGCACTGATAATGAGGCATCTATATACATGCAACACCGTTCCTTTTAAGAGAGAAGCGTGGGTGGGGCAAGGGAAGGGGAGCATTAGTGTAACAAGCTCTTCTGAAGTCTGAAGTTAATCATGCTTGTATGAAAACATTAATAGGATGGATGGTCTCCTTGGAGACCTTGTGCACCAGTTATTACTTGTCATGAGATAGAGGTAGCCATGTAGGGAAAGAATAATCGACACTTCATGATACATCAATATACATACATATATACATATATATACACACACACTTGAAATCTTTTGTATGAGAGAGAGAGTGCATGTATGCTCTCTCGTCTCTCTCTCAGAAAAATAAGTTGCACAGTTTACTGATCTCCTCAGAAAATTAAGTTGCACAGCACAATACTAGCACGGGTAACCTTGTATTAAGTATTGTAGACACACTTTGTTCTGTTGGCGGGCCTGCAGCTTATCTGTGTGTAGGTGTGTCAGAGAGAGAGAGAGAGAACATGGCACTTTCTGTTTTAAGTAATTTCAAATGTACGCTATTTTCTTTCGGCAGAGGTATGTTCAATGTGAGGGCACCGCCTGTGAAGGATGGTTTTCAGGATTTAATGGGTGGTGATGCAATTATGAAGCATGAAAGTGAAGAGAGTAAAGAGCATAAACTCACCTCACCCCGAAAATAGAGGAAGATGCGCCCTAAGGTCTATTCCTTTAAGTTGCATTTTTGTGCATAACAGTGGTTGCATTTGATTGTTTTCTTTTTACATCTTTTGGGCCTTGGGCCCATTCTTTCTGCTTGAGCTTTCGTGTTTCAAATCCATATGAGAAACTGTAGCCAATAAATTGTAACATGAAAATTGTAATTGATCTCAAAGTTGTACACGCATTCAACCAAATCCCCTCTTCTACTGTATTTCCTTCTTTTCCTCTCTCTTTCTCTCTCTCTCTCTCACACACAAATTTCTATAATGGCAATCTGGCGAGGTATCTCTCATTCTCTCTCACACAAATTCCTAAAGTTTCATTCTAGCGATACCTTGTACAACCAGTCCGAGAAACCTTGTCATGATAAACTGGAAAGAGTCCATGTTGTTTATAGTGGGAAAATTGTAGAAACACCATACACACAACACAATTTTATTGCAATTTCTTCCTGTAATAAATTGCTAGAAATGACACTTCTTACTATATGATAGACCAGCAGTATCATTCCCCCTTGTTTCCTCTAGCTCAAGTGAGAAGTAGAGCAATATAAATTACAAAATGCATGTTACACCCGTAAGAGAGTAAGATACCAACCAAGGTTCAAAAACGCTGATGTGGCCACCTAGGCAGTCAGGAGTCTGGGCCGCCTAGGCGCTAAGGTGGCCGCCTAAGCGGGCGCCCAGAAACAAAGGCTGCCTGCATTAGGAAAGGGGCAGATCCTTGTGGTTTGCCCCCCACTCCTTCCTCCATTTCATTGTATATAAAATTGACTTTTTTTTTTAATTTAATAAGTTTTGTGTATAATATATTGTTCAGAAGATGGAAGTACAGATCAAACATAAACATTTACGACTTTAGACTGTATATGACATAATTAAAACTCAAAAGCGACATTAAAAGATAAAATCAACTCAATATGTCCTTAAAATCTCGCAAGTCATAAGTTACAACAGATACTCAAAATTCATTTAAAAAGAGTCATATTCGATAATCAAATTCCATAAACTACATAAAGTCTTCTTCACCCCACAAATATGATGAAATCAATTATGAGGTTGATTTTCATCATCACTAGCAACATAAGGTCGATGTCTGGCATGCAATCCACCTGAATCTAATGATGATACTAAGGCATCATCATTAGAGTCGTCCTCCTCCTCTACATAAAAACCTTTTTCCCTTGTCTCCTTTGAGTTTGCATCCTCCTCTTCCTCCAAGATCACCATCCTCCTCTTAGTTTGCGCCTTCTTCTTTCCCTTTCCCTTTTCTTGGGCCACTTCCTTCCCATTTCTCTATGTTTGGGATTTAGTAGCTCTCATAGACTTCGATGCCAAACCAGCCACCTCTTTCTCTTGGGTCCATGTCAATCTCTCTCCCTCGAATATAGGCTCATCCCCAGCATTGGGCTCGACTAGCCATTCGCTTTTTGGATCTAAATCTTTCACAAGTATGGGGTCTTCAAATTGAAACCGCTCTAGATGACGCTCCTTCAGCTTTTGATTGTACAAAACGAAAACAAGGTCGTTTAGTCTCTTCTGCTTGAGTCTATTTCTCTTCTTTGTATGTACCTGTTTCATAGAATACCATTGCCATATTACAATTCTTTACTTTAAATAAAAGTATTGATAAAGTTATTGTCGTAAATTGATAGGAGATGAGGGTAAATAAAATATTCACCATCTTAAAGGTGCTGAAGTTGTGATCGCAGCCGGACGATGTACAAGTCAAGTTCAAAAATTGTTGTGCCATCCTTTGCAAGTTGGGGGCAGTTTGTCCATGGTTAAATTTGGAATTTAGAAAAGTAGAGTGAAGTTAAATTGAAATGACAAATACGTTTTTAACTTACATGGATATATCTGTCCTTTGCCTGACTGAGATGTTCGTCCCAAGTGTTCCCATTGAGTGACGATTAAATCAAGTTTTATAGAAACTTTGTCTTGAACATCTGAGTCGGGGTGGAGGCTTACATTGCACTTGTTAAATGTTACCATGGTAGAATATCTTTTCTCTTATCTCAGGATCAAAATAAAACTAAGCAAGGTTGAGAAAATACCCCTTAGTTGTAGGGGTTTCTCCAGCTGCAAATCCCACTTTTCATCCACAATTTTCAAGATGGGGCCATATCTTTTTCATCTTGCTTCAAGCTTTGCTTAATTTCTTCTCTTGCAACCTCCATTGCTTTGAAAATATGCCCCATTACCAGTTCCCTTTCGCTTTCAACATGGCAAAGCACTTTCACAAGTGGCTCAAAAATATCAATGCAAAATTGAATCCCACTCCAAAACCTGGTTGTGATAATAATGTGAAACCTTTTTTCCCATGGCATCCATAAACCACTTGCTCCCCTTTCATGCCTCAGGTATAAATGTTGTTCGAAGCTTGTCCATTTGTTTATTCAAAGCAATCTGAGAAAATAATGAAGTGGCAAACCTGGTGACCTCCGGCGTCATTAAGTCTATTATGTAAGCTTCCTCATCATCGCCAAAACATGGGTGTGCCTATAAATGACAATTGTTATGGCTTTGGCTTTTTCTATTATCTCATGCACCACTTTCTTTTAACCAATTTTTTCAAGCATGAGATCTGTACAGTGAGCCGTGCAATGCGTCAAAAAAATGTGCTGCCTCGAAAACTCCTGTAATCTAATAGCTGCTATTTGCCCTAGCCATATCTGTGACAACAAGCACGACATGTGCCGCCCCACCTCTGCAATGTACTGATCCATAACACCATATATGAAGGCGGTATCGTGAATCTTATCGGATGCATCAATGTACTTCAAAAAAATAGTTCCCATGGGGTAATTAACTAATAAGTTCATAACACTCGTAGACCTGCTATCATTCCATATATATATGTCATAACAGTCACCCCGCATCTGCCCCAAACATCCTTGCGGGTCTTCAGGTAGTCATTTGTTAATTCTACCTCTTTCCTCAATAAAGGACCTTTAGCTCATAAGGTATAGGGGGCCTATATCTTGGGCCAAACTACCCGCGTTGCCTTTAACATAGCATGGATACTCTTTTAACTGGAAGTTCTAAATGACAGACCCACTTGAAAGTACCATCGAGCCACATACTTATTCACCCTTTCTCTATCCTGCTTCTTCAAATAACTCTCTAAAGTACTATGTGACGGTTCCTTTTTGCGAACCACTACATCGGGATCGGGATTCGGTAAGAATGTATCTAAAGCCCCTATTGTTTGAGGTCTGTTATGCCCAATGGTGCTTAGTCTACTTATGGAGTCTCCTTCCTCTTCATCTTCATCATCTTTAGATTTTCTATGGATGTTTAGAGAGGTCCTCATTTTTTGATGTCCCTTCTTGACCTGTTCTTTCTTCTTTTGAACGCCTTCCAAGTGATCCAACATCTCTTTCCTGACCTCTGCAGGGACTTGAATACATGGTGCTACATCTCCTCTTATACCGGTCAAATGCTTTTTCAATCTATTAATGCTAGCATTGTACTCTTTTTTGCAAAACTTTCAAGCTATTTTATTCTTGTGACTAGGGTTCAAACAATGTCTATATTTCTAACGTGGAGCACTTTGTTTACTTGAAGATGAGGAAGTGATTTCACCTACAACATTTATCTGTCAAGTATCAACTTATCACCTAAGCCTGGAAATTACACAAAAACAACAAAGTCAAACTTGAAAATATTTACAAGAAGTGAAAATTGTAAATACATACATAAAAGCAAGATTAATTTACAACTAATAAATATTTGAAACTTCAAATTCGTCATCCAAAAAAAATTAAAAAGTGGTCATCTAAAAACTTACAAATTAGAAATGAAGTAAAAATAATTGTTACATTGACCCTTTAATATATGAGTTCTTATCAAGCCAAAACATATCTATAGGTAAAACATACACATCAAAATTGCAATGATATAACACAAAATCGAAAAAACATATTACACATGCAATTATTTAAAAAGCAATTGTTAAACTAACTAATAAAAAAAATTCATGGGGATAAAAGTTATGGTTTATGAATCATACAAGTCAATTCATGTATAAAACTAAAAAAAGAACCTAAAAACCAATATTCATTCGGTTTGGGGTCAATAGACTTTTTTTTATTGAATTACTTTCCCAAAGACCCAAACTACATACAAAATGAGAAAATAATAACCCAAATAGTCAATAACATATCAAATATATATCATAAAGTTTTATAACTAGCAAATAATAACATCATTAGACATTGTTAAGAAAAAAAAAACATAACCTAATAAAAGCTATTGAAATACACGAACCTTTTTGAAGTAGAATTGATATTGGGCCAAACTGAAATGTTTGGGTTCTCAAATCCTCCTCTTTTATGACCACTATAAGCCTAAAACAGATTGGGGATGAATATCCTTTAATTTCATAACCATTCGATGAGGTCGAAAAATATTTCAATCTCTCTACAAATCTTCAAATCTTGTTTTTTTCTCACTCTAAACCTCACTAAAAATGTTTTTGGGGGGCAAGAATAACCCCACAAGTCTTTTCCCCCTTTTTTAGGGGGTAAAATGATGATTTTAGACATTGGCTGAGTGCTATTTTCTGCCATTGGATGAGGCAGCACCTAGGTGCCCGCCTTTTATGCTACCTAGGCGGGCGCCTAGAATGACCCACCTAGACTAGGCGTTTGGAAAAAGTGCCGCCTAGGCAGCAAGGCGGCCGAATTTTCGTTCATTGAGACCAACCATTGCAATTAGAGATGTTTCCTCTTAAGATCTAACGTTACTTGAGATATCCTTGGATATAATTATCATGGCAAGCCCAATCAACAAATAGGGACTTGAGCCTTAAGGGCTCTCACCCTTCTCTTCCACTATAGCATGCCTTGTAGACTTTGCAATGGCTTCCTTTGTGAAGGATTCATCCTCTTTGATCTTTCCTGACCTCTGCAGAATTGACATGGATCTCTTTTATTCTGCAAGATATTGGGGTGCCTCTTTCTTAGCCCTTAACACCTTTTTGTTACAATATTAGTGCTCTCTACATGACAATTAATCTTGTTTTTCATGCCGTACAAAGTATATTGAGTTAGACTATCAATTTGTAAATGAAAAGGTTGCCCTTGGATTACTTGTCACTCGGTTTGTTTCCTCTTGCAATCAAGTAGCTGATATATTTACCAAGCCTCGTTATGAGATGTTTTTCGAGATTTTTGTTTCAAAATCAAAGTTCAGATGTCTCCTCAGT